ACTAGGGTCTTGTCGAGATAACGAAGTCGCGCAAGATACGTCTCATGCACACAAATGGGCAAAACTAGGCCTTCCAAACTGCGTTATCCCCTAGGACTCCTTCGAGATGTTTCACCCGAAAGGCCTTCCCTAACGGTGTACTCCATATCGTACCCCGTCACATAAATGCATATGATGCATGTCACAGTACATTCACATGTTCATGGACTTAACATTTCACTTGTCATATCTCATTATGTCACTAGTTCTCATATCACATTATTATACTCATAGTCACAAGGTCACATATAAGAGATTCTCATCCTCATCATGCTCATAGAAACACATCACTTGCATTAACACAATAATAAGGCAGTTATTACACCATTAGCACCTTCAAACATGGCTTAAAATTTTTTTGTTTTTGAAATTAAACACATATTCACACTCAACAAACATTAAGGAACACAATAGAAAACTCAAATATCAAAACAGAAAACACTCATATTTTGCCTGTTTCTCGTAGGGTTTCCCGTAGGAACCCATAAAGCACTCCAATCCCTATCAAAACATATTCAAACTCAAAATTAAACACACATTCATGCTTAGTAATCATCAGGGAACACAATAGAAAACTCAGAAGCCAAAACATAAAACATTCAAAATTTGTCTGTTTCTCATAGGGTTTCCCATAGGAACCCATAGAACATTCTAATACATATCAAAACATATTCAAACTCAAAATTAAACATACATTCATGCTTAGTAATCATCAGGGAACACAATAGAAAACTCAAAAGCCAAAACAGAAAACATTCAAAATTTGTCTGTTTCTCATGGGGTTTCCCGTAGGAACACATAAAACACTCTAATTCATATCAAAACATATATATTCTCAAAATTGAGCACATACTCTCACTCAGAATCACACAAGGAATGCAACAGAACAATCAGAAAACAAAATAGAAAACTTTTATAAAGTGCCTGTTTCTATATGCATACATTAGGCAAGGGATTGGGGGCCAATATGACTACCCAATAGATATTTCCACACCCTCAAGTGAGGCTTCTCACTCCCCTTTACTTGGATGAGTAGAGGATGAAGCACGTGCAGTTCCCCAGTGATCTCCTCCTGTTCTCTTGAGTCTTCAGAGCGCGTAGAAAAGAAATGAGAGACTAGAGTCAAGAGAAATGAGAAGCGTGAAAAGTAACTCCTAACAACTTCTTTCTTAAAAATAATATAAATAAATAATAATATTATTTAGCAAAAGAGCACTACATTCCTCCTTCCCTTCTCATAAAATAATTAAACATATTTCTTCTTTTTAATAAATAACAAACATAATTCTTGATAAAAACATATTTTTCATAAAAATAGTTTATGGAGTCTTGATTTGCTTTAACTCTGTGAGATTCATCAACACCTCTTCTTGAAATTTTCCTTAAGGAACTTAAAGGTTGGAATTGGCCAAGATGAGATGCAATGAGGTTCACGTTGGACTAAGCTTCTTAGGTAGAAGAAGCCTAAGCCTAGAACTACAAAGAGGATAGCTCAAGGCAATTTGGAGAAGGAATTCTCCTATGATGACTTCGGCTAGAGAGAATTGAGTTCTCCAAGATGGAGAAAATTCTCATTCAATTTCCAAAAGTGTCTTACTTACACGGCCAAAAGATATTTATAGGCCAAGGTAGAGTACTAGAGAAGCTAAGTTAACGTAAGGTTTAAATCAAACCATGGTATGGTTGATTTAAACCTTAGGTGCCAAAATTTGAATGTTTAAATTCAAATTTGGTGCCAACCTTCCTAGAAATCTAGAAATGCCATGTGCTCATCTAATTTGAATGTGATTTAGTGTTCATTTAGGAGTGAATTTCGGTCACACCATATATGTGAAGCACATGGGTCCGAAATTCACCCTAAATTCAATACTAAATTACATTTAAATGTAGATGCACATGTAATTCCCTTGGCCTAGTGATCTCAATCCGAATTAATGGTCAAACCAAAATTCCTATACTACTTGGCCTAAAATACAAGGCCCACAAACAAGAATTACAAGCCCAATGAGTTAAACCTATTCTACATGGGCTTTAATGCACAGCCCAACTAAAGAGCACTATGGGCTTTTCTTTAGTATTGGCCCATTCTTCATTCATCCTCTTGACCATGGCCGGAGTGATTGGGCCCTTGATCCATGGACCTCCGTCATCCCCTCCCTTTTGAAGAGGATTTGACCTCAAATCCAAAGATGCTTCCTCATGGTCATTAACCCTTGTAAAAAGTGATAGATCAGAAATATTGAAACTAGGGCTTACTCCATATTCTTGTGGAAGGTCTAGGACATAGGCATTGTTATTGATTTTCTTGAGGACTTTAAAAGGTCCATCTTCTCTAGGACTAAGTTTAGACTTTCTTTTAGAAGGAAATTTGTTCTTTCTAAGGTGAAGCCAAACCCAGTCCCCTTCATTGAACATGACTTCTTTTCTACCCTTATTATTATATTTAATATACTTCTCCGTTTGAGATTGAATATGATCTCTAACCCTCTAAGCAAAACTAGCCTACCTGCTATAGGTTGTTCTGGCCAACATGTTGCTGGCATTAGCTGTTTTAAGTATGTTACCATTTATGTTTGAAAACTTTGAGCCATTTTTTAGTTATTTTGTTTGTCTTCTATAATCTTATATATATGCTGATGTGTAATGTATGTTGTTTGCAAATCGGTTAACGAGGGTTGCCTTTAAAAATTCTAAATCTAGTTGTACAATGTAGTGGCAGATTGAAAACCTAGCAGGCCAGAATTTGGGATTCTACTTTGTTTCTATTTTATATCTATATATCTATATATGTGTTGATTATCCAGGTATTTTGAGTTGTGCAGGCATTATGGACACAATTTTTGTCATCACTTCTGATTTCTATTGGTAACATTTGATTGATATCACCGTGGCTTCTGCATTGATTTATCCGTGTCCTGCAAACTTTAATGTTTTGGTTTTACTTTGAAAGACTTGACTAAGGCCTTTCTGTAGTGAAATTATGTTCTCTTGATTTTTCAAATAATAGACAAGATGCTTATTCTCGGATTCAATGTGCTGCTGCTACACATGTCCCATTTCGCTAATAAAATCTTCAGCTAATTATGTTCTCTGGTCTATGCAGTCTTTCCATTATTGCAAGTATAAGCGGGGGATGAAAACCAATTTTACATATTTGCTGATGATTGCATTCCAAGGTGGCTTACTACATCATACCATATTGATTCTGATTTTATGGCAGGTGCAGACAAGTTTGTGAATATCTATTTTGTGTGGTTGCCATAAGATGTTTCAGATGAGATAGAAGAAGATCCTACGGGTGGGAGGATCAAGTGGGAGCAGGGAAAGTTGAATAGAGCTCCGAATAAGGTGGAAGAAATTGTACAATTTCATGTTGGTGATGTGGTCACATACTTTCAAAAGGCGTCTCTTCTACCATGTGGTGGAGAGTACATTGTATTTTGAACAGTTATGGGTTGTGTTGGGACATTACATGCCTTCACTTCACGGGGTGATGTTGATTTCTATTCTCATCTGGAGATGCATATGAGGCAGGATCCCCTACCTTTGTGTGGAAGAGACCACATGGCCTATAGATCTGCTTATTTTCATGATAAGGTACCTACCTAATCAATTTTATGTTTTTTGTTCTTTCTATTAATGCAAGAAAAATGTTGGAGTTAGCTGTACACACGCTTCAACTGTCATTTAGAGAAAACATGGTAATTTTGTATAAATTGTTTGGGTTAGGAGGATCTTGCCTTCTTAGAAATTGGAATGATAAGTTTGCACTCTATCTCTAGCTTGCTGCAGTAGTCGTGTGTACTATGATGATTTTTTTTGACCGAATAATCAATGGCTTGCTGCTCATCATTATTCAATTTTTTTAAGTAACATTTCTTAATGAAATTATGGTGTATAACTTAAAATTTATTTTCTTAAACAAATTATCAGGTAATTCCGTACACAGCAAGTGATTATATAGTAAAGATAGAATATGGCTCTGTCGGACCAGACCCAACAAAGGTGATTATCTAGTTGTCATAGTGTTTGATGATTCAAAGAGTTGCTATTGAACCTTACATGGGGGGTTAGGTTTTATTAGTTTTTTTTGCGTTTGAGTTTTTTTTAGTGTTTTTCTGGAGTTTGAAAATGAATACAAAGATTGAAAATAAAGCTGAGAAAATAAGTAAGAAGAAAAATAAGAAGGAAAACATATTGTTAAAGCCTTTTGTGTGAGGTGAGAATAAATTATTGTTGGGGGTTGGGGGTTGGGGGTTGGGGGTTAGGGGTTAGGGGTTTTAGGGTTAGGGTTTAAGGTTTAGGGTTATTTAGGGTTAGGGGTTTAGGGTATTTTAGGGTTGGGGGTTTGGGGTTTGGGGTGTGGGGTTTGGGTTAGGAGGATCTTGATAATTATATGTCTCATGATCAAGGATATTTGAGATTTTTTTGCTTATAGTAACTCCTAACAACTTCTTTCTTAAAAATAATATAAATAAATAATAATATTATTTAGCAAAAGAGCACTACATTCCTCCTTCCCTTCTCATAAAATAATTAAACATATTTCTTAAAGAAGCTCCTAAAGCATGAAGACAACATGACATGACAGTGAGAGGGCTAGAAGCCCAAAGAAATTGGTTTAGTAACCCACAATGAGCCGTTCCAAAACTAGAACAGGTTCTTCCCAAGCTGGAATGGGTCGTTCCCATACTGAAACAGGTCGTTCTAGACCACTAAACAACCCCATAACCCTAGTTGAGAATGGGCCAGAACTGACCGTTCTTAAGCAGTTTGTTATGAGTTAAACGTAAATCTAGAACGGGTCGTTCTGACAACAGAACGGGTCGTTCCAATTTCATATTTAACCCATAACAAAATTAACCAGAATGGGTCATTTCGATCCCAGAACGGGTCATTTTAGTCAGATTTGAAGTCTATAAATAGTAGACTCAGACACTGCTCTCGAGGCTGAAAAAATTCATCTAGAATCCCAGATAGCTCCAAATATCTCCCCCCTCTCTCTCTCTTTTTTTATTTCTTGAAATCTGATAGGTATTTGTGTAGTGTGAAAGGCAAAGCACCTAAACATCCCACATTTGAAGAACATCAATAAAGCTTTCCATGAGGTATTATACACCGATCTCTTTCTCCATCTCCCACCTCTTTTATTTTAAATATCATTATAATAAAAGAAATAACCATGTAGACATCCTAGGTTAATTTATGTAATTTAAGTTTCATGTATATAAATAATCATCAATAAAGGGGACTTAATATTTAAATTATTATCTCTTATGTTAGCTTCATCATAGGGTACTGATAAAGGGCGTTGTAGGGGTGCTTAATACCTTCCCTACATGTAACCGACCCCCGAACCCAGTTTTGGTTATCAAGGCCATTATTGGATTTTCATAAACCTTTATTTTTCCAATGTTTTGAGTAAAACATTGGTGACGACTCCTTCGAATTATTTTTTAAAATTATTAATTAGGGATTAGTCTAGTTTCCGGTCATTCCCTAATTGATGAGATTTTTCAAAAGGTAGTCCATACCATTGGTCGTAAGATCAGAATTTTTTGGGTTGCGACACATTTTCCATTTTTTTTGGCACCAATAAAACAGGCACAGCATAAGGGCTTAAGCTCTTTTGAACCCAACCCTTATCCAACAAGTCTTGTACTTGCTTCTCTATCTCTTTTGTTTCTTGTGGATTTGTTCTATAAGCTAGTTTATTGGGTAGACTAGCTCCTGGAACAACATCAATTACCCCTAAAGGTGGAAGGCCAATTGGTCCTTCACTAGGGAATACATCATCAAATTCAATTAAAAGATTTTGTATTTCAAAAGGTAGAGAAGTATTTATAGAACTTGTGGCAGTGCATGTGAGTATTCCTCTACAAATGAGGACATATAAAAATGGTTCAATCAAGAGAGATTTTTTTAAAGGTTGGTTGGTAAAATTCTCTTCTTGCTAAACTATCTCTAGAGAGGAAACACGAGTCTCTCTAGAATCCTCTCTACTCCTAATTTTTAGGTGTTATTTTTACTCTTTTTTTCATGCTCTTTTTCATGATCACGTGGCCTTCATTTGTACTTGATCCTCAGCCACTTAATACAAGGCCCACAAACAAGAATTACAAGCCCAATGAGTTAAACCTATTCTACATGGGCTTTAATGCACAGCCCAACTAAAGAGCACTATGGGCTTTTCTTTAGTATTGGCCCATTCTTCATTCATCCTCTTGACCATGGCCCTAGTGATTGGGCCCTTGATCCATGGACCTCCGTCATCCCCTCCCTTTTGAAGAGGATTTGACCTCAAATCCAAAGATGCTTCCTCATGGTCATCAACCCTTGTAAAAAGTGATAGATCAGAAATATTGAAACTAGGGCTTACTCCATATTCTTGTGGAAGGTCTAGGACATAGGCATTGTTATTGATTTTCTTGACGAAATTCCTATACTACTTGGCCTAAAATACAAGGCCCACAAACAAGAATTACAAGCCCAATGAGTTAAACCTATTCTACATGGGCTTTAATGCACAGCCCAACTAAAGAGCACTATGGGCTTTTCTTTAGTATTGGCCCATTCTTCATTCATCCTCTTGACCATGGCCCTAGTGATTGGGCCCTTGATCCATGGACCTCCGTCATCCCCTCCCTTTTGAAGAGGATTTGACCTCAAATCCAAAGATGCTTCCTCATGGTCATCAACCCTTGTAAAAAGTGATAGATCAGAAATATTGAAACTAGGGCTAACTCCATATTCTTGTGGAAGGTCTAGGACATAGGCATTGTTATTGATTTTCTTGAGGACTTTAAAAGGTCCATCTTCTCTAGGACTAAGTTTAGACTTTCTTTTAGAAGGAAATTTGTTCTTTCTAAGGTGAAGCCAAACTCAGTCCCCTTCATTGAACATGACTTTTTTTCTACCCTTATTATTATATTTAGTATACTTCTCCGTTTGAGATTGAATATGATCTCTAACCCTCTCATGTAATTTTTTAATAAACTCAGCCCTAGACGAACCTTCTTTATGGATGAAAGAAGCCACATTAGGGAGAGGTAACAAATCTAAAGGGGTGAGAGGATTAAATCCATAAACAATTTCAAAAGGAGACATTTTTGTTGTTTTGTGCACTACCCTATTGTAGGAAAACTCTATATATGGGGTAGGTAGTCATCCCATGACTTTTTATTACCTTTGAGAATTGCCCTTAACATAGTTCCAAGAGACCTATTCACTACCTCAGTTTCCCATCAGTTTGAGGGTGACATGTAGTAGAAAACAGGAGTTTAGTCCCTAGCCTAGACCAAAGAGTTTTTCAAAAGTGGCTTAGGAACTTAACATCTCGATCAGAGACTATAGTCTTAGGCAACCCATGTAACCTTACTACCTCTTAGAAGAATAATTTAGCTATATTGCTTGCATCATCCACTTTGTTGCATGGAATAAAGTGTGCCATTTTACTAAAACGGTCCACTACCACAAAAATGGAATCCTTTCCACTTTGGGTGCAAGGTAATCCAAGAACAAAGTCTATAGATATATCTACCCAAGGAGAATTGGATATAGGCAAGGGGGTGTACAATCCAAGAGGCTTAGTTTTAGAATTAGCTTGAAGACAAACTATACATCTGGAACAAAACCTTTGGACATCTTGTTTCATAAGAGGCCAAAAGAATTTCTCTTTTAATAATAAAAGAGTTTTCTCAATCCCAAAATGCCCCATGAGTCCACCCTCATGACTCTCCTATACCAAAAGTTTCCTAATATTCTTTAGTATTGGCCCATTCTTCATTCATCCTCTTGACCATGGCCCTAGTGATTGGGCCCTTGATCCATGGACCTCCGTCATCCCCTCCCTTTTGAAGAGGATTTGACCTCAAATCCAAAGATGCTTCCTCATGGTAGAGTGGTTGACGTACGACCGGCCTAAGTTTGGCCTTGGAACCTGCGAGCCTTGTCAAAAATCACACTCAAGGTGATAACCGGTTACTCTAGCCTGAAATACTGCGACATACCATAGCCTTTGCCAGGTGATGGCGACAGAGATACTGGGTCCTTATATTGGGGGCACCTTGGGGGCCTTAAAGACTAGTGAGATTAGAACCGTCCTACACAACACACTTTTATTGACAGGGACCACAGACCAAGGATTTGAACACAATCGTTCGTGGGTGTACGCTGATTGAGCATGTGTGTGTGCATTTGTTTGTACTATTTCTTCTAATAAGAGTGGATTGGAATTTTAAAATAAGCAAATAGATAATAAAAAAATAATAAAAAAATTAATAACAAAATTCTTTTACCCCTTCGTACATTCTTAGGTCAGCATTCCATTAACATCATATAGGTAGTTTCCTTTTTGTAAAAAATAAAATCAATAAAAGAAGTCTCTTATTTACCATGCATCATTCCCTTTTAGATAATAGAAATATGATAAAGATTAGGCAAAAAAATGACATTCATTCTAAATTAGCTCATTAGTTTCATTCATTTTATTTTATGAGCCAAGGAGGATTAGGTTGCATATGTATAGAAAGTTAAGAGAAGTGAATGCTCTAATATACGACAGTACCTGCACTCTAAAGAAAAGCCCAAATCAATTTTAAAAATACTATGGTGGGGCCCTTGCTTTGATATGTTTTTTAAAGTAAGTCTTCTTAGAATCTAATATAGATTCTCGCTTAATACTGTCAAAATCTATTTGAGCATTCACAGATAAACAAATCAATGAAACTGATATTTATTATTCTCAACTTTCTATACATTCTGCATTACATTCATTTAGAGCATATCCCTCCTTGTAAAAGAATAAATGAGAATAAAAAGGGAAATTAACCTATGTGCGTTAGTCGGAAGTA